CTGTATATATATATATATATATATATATATATATATATATATATACATATATCAATATTACTGATTTCCTGTACTACTAAATATACATCCACATGACTGATTATCCACATCTCTAAACATACACTGAAACACTGATTTCTTGTATCACTAAATATACGTCTACTTTACTGAATATACACCTGTCGCGTTGAGTTATTGTATCACTAAATATATGTCTCTATTTTTGATTTCCTGTATTATCAAATGTACATTTGTAATTCCTATTTCCTATGTTACTAAGAATACATACATCAATATTACTTACTTCATATATTGGTAAATGTAAATCTATGTTACGTATTCCCTTTATTACGGAATTAACATATGTGATTCTTATTTCCTACATTATGTAAATCTACATTATTGATTTTCTATATTAGGATACATACATATTAATTACTGATTTCCTGTAGCACTGAACGTACACCTATAATCAATATTTCCTTTATTACCGAGTATACAAACATCTGTATTATTAAATATTCATCAATGATTCGTATTTCCTATATTACTAAATGTACAGAATAATTATAATTTCCTATGTTACTAAACACACATCTATAATTCTGATTTTCTGTATTATTATAAATACATCTATATTACTGACTTACGACGCAGAAGATTTATGCAGCCACTGCCATGTGCGAGGTGTCTTATGATTTTGTCAGATATCAAAGAACTCAGGAAAAATACAAAAATAATGCGTTTTGATTTTCACTGAAAAATAGTTGATCGTCCTATTCCGTCTAGTCTTTTACTGTGCCTACCGCACGAGGTCTCATACACTGTGCAACTGTTTACCACACAGCCGAGGCCATGCAATATCAAGGTTCCAAGAAAAGGCTCCACTGGCTATTACATATTTTAATACACGTGTTACGTTAAGGAAAATCAATTTATTTTATATTCTTGGTATGCTAAGAACTGTTGTGTTCTTTATGTACTATACTATGTTACTGCAGTGTTTGTAGGGTATGTTTTTCACCTGGTACATTCTCTGCAATGGCCCTGGCGAACTACATTACTTATTTCCAATGCGCGAAAATGTTTTTAAAAAAATATATATTTTCTAGCCATTTGAGAGCTGTCTATAGTTTTGTTAAATGGCAAAGACACAGAACAAAATCCAAATACATCTCTACTACTAATTTCTAATGTGTGCTATGCAAGTGAGAAGTCTCTACGGTTTTGTCAGATTCTAGGAACTCGGGAATGAATAAAAACAAACAAACAATGAATCCGTTTCAACTCTGACGGACAAATGCAATACTTATTGTGATGTTCAGTCTATTCTAATACTGCGGAAAAAAGAACAGTTGCAGTATACCAGATCCATGATACTGTAACAAGTTTCCTATTCGGTTCTAGACCAACACTTAAAACACACTACATTACTAAAACGCATTTTGTGAAGAACATAATTGAGTTTTTATTCGTTTTTTTTCTCTCAGAAATAAACACATTCAGTAGTTAAATTGCAAGTGAATCTCCGACAGAGGAGACATTTCTGTGAAAGTAATGGAAACTGGAGAACCTCTACATTAAATATACACTTATTTTAATTTAATCATTAAATATAATGTACATGACAGGAAGGCAATTACATTAATCATTAAATGTATGTGCGGGGGCGTCATAAGCATTGATTGAGCAGAAGACAATAATAAGTTAAGCATTGAGAAGAAAATATTAAGTTTTTTTAAAATGTATAAGGTACATTAATTTTCGTGTTCATTTATATATTAATCGACATTAAATTTAATGACATTTCCGACAGTGTACTTTTTCAATTTCATTTGTCTAGACGTTTACGTGTGCGCCTTCGCGTTGCTCACCTCTTCTTCAGCCCACATGACCAGCAGCACCATGTACAGGAGCGCCTGCACCAGCGGCAGCTGCAGCACCAGCAGCCGCAGGCGTCTCACGTTGGTCCTGCAACGCACCATCGCACCACTCACTCACTCGCGAACAAACACATAACAAAATTGACATTTGAGCTGCTGACTGGTAGAGAGGTACAAGTCTTTTATCCTTAATTTGGCAGGAAAGCGCATTTTGCGTTTGGCCTTTTCATAAATCACATTGGCAGTAAATAACAAAAATAATAATGACAGTATATTCTAGACATGTTACTTTTTTGAAAAAGTAGTAAATAAAATTTGACATAAAAATAAAATTTTTATGTCAAACGCCGCAAAAGTGCCAAAGTCAAAATACATCCCTATACAGAATTTGAGTAAAACTCTAAGTGTACATTTGGAGGATTGTGTGGATTGCGGTTCGCGGCTAGGAAAAAGAGGTGACGTAAGAAAGTGAAGGATATGAAAAAAGATAGAGGAGAATGATGAGAGATAGAGAACATGAATAAGATGGAGATGAAGAATATGGAAAAGGGGAGGAGAAACAGGATAATGAGATGGAGGGGAAGGTACAAATAGAAAGGAAGGAACAAAGAGAAGGGGAGGAGTAGTTGGAAAGAAAGGAGCAGATGGAGGGGAAGGAGGATGGGTTGGAGGAGGAGATGGTGCGGAGGGGATGGAGTAGATCGAAGAGATGGAGGAGGAAGTGGAGGAGTAATAAATGAAGCAAACAAAGGAGGGGATGAAGAAGAAGGAGATGGGGAGGAGGGGTTGGCGGAGAAAGAGGAGATGGAGGAGTAAGATATGACGGAAACCAGGGAGGATATGGAGGAAAGGAGAAGTTGGAGGAGAAGGCAAAAATTGAGGGAAGAGACGGCAAGGAAGAAATGGAAGGTACGGAGGGTAAGAAGGAGATGAAGGAGGAATAGAAGGAAGAGGAGAAGGAAATGAACGACGATGGTAAGGATAATGAAAAGTAGATGGAAGATAAGAAGTAGATAAAGGATAAGGAGTAGATGGAGGATAAGGAGGAGATGGAGGATAAGGAGGTGAAGGATAGGGAGGAGATAGAGGATAAGGAGGAGATGGAGGATAGGGAGGAGATGGAGGATAGGAAGGAGAAGGAGGATAGGGAGGAGATGGAGTATAAGGAGGAGATGGAGGATAGGGAGCAGATGGAGAATAAGGTGATGGAGGATAAGATGATGGAGGATAAAGAGGAGGTGGAGGATAAGGTGGTGATGGAGGATAAGGAGGAGATGGAGGCCAGGGAGGAGATGGAGGCCAGGGAGGAGATGGAGGATAGGGAGGAGATGGAGGATAGGGAGGAGATGGAGGATAAGGAGGAGATGGAGGATAAGGAGGAGATGGAGGATAAGGAGCAAAAAGAGGATGTGGACCATAAGAAGAAGATGGAGGATAAGGATGAGATGGAGGATCAGGAGGAGATGGAGGATAAGGAGCAAAAGGGATATGGAGCATAAGAAGGAGATGGAGGATAAGGATGAGATGGAGGATCAGGAGGAGATGGAGAATAGGGAGGAGATGAGGAGATGGACGATAGGGAGGATAGGGAGGAGATGGAGGATAGGGAGGAGATGGAGGATAGGAAGGAGATGGAGGATAGGGAGAAGACGGAGGTGCCGGGGCGTGGCCTCACTCGTGGAAGTCGAGCTGCGGCAGGCAGCAGCAGCAGGGCCAGCAGCAGCAGGGCCCCACGCGCGTGTCGAGCGCCCCGCGCTTGGCGGCGCGCGTCGCCTCGCCCGTGCCGCCGGCATACGCCAGCAGCAGGCAGAACAGCTGGTAGACGGCCGCCGTGAACGCGCCCTGCGTCACCGCCTCCGCCAGCAGCTGCGCGCGCGGCACGATCACCGCGCAATAGCTCGCCATCGCCACCACCTGCGCAACACCGCCACGCCACACCACGTCACCACGTTGTTGCGTCACCGGGCATTGTTTGTGAGAAAGGGATGGCAAACGCAGTTCACACACACACACACCGGGGAGTAGATAGCTCGCCATCGCCACCACCTGCGCAACACCACCACACGACACCACGTCACCCAAGATGCTGCGCCACCGCGCATTGTTCGTGAGAAAGGGATGGCAAACGCAGTTCCCATACACACACACCGGGGAGTAGATAGCTCGCCATCGCCTCCACCTGCGCAACACCGCCACGCCACACCACGTCACCACGTTGCTGCGTCACCGGGCATTGTTCGTGAGAAAGGGATGGCAAACGCAGTTCACACACACACACACACACACCGGGGAGTAGATAGCTCGCCATCGCCACCACCTGCGCAACACCGCCACGCCACACCACGTCACCACGTTGCTCGGAGTCACCGCGCATTGTTCGTAAGAAAGGGATGGCAAACGCAGTTCACGTGCGCGAAGATGGTGTAACAATTGGACTGTTATACCCAAGCATGCGGGTTCAAACCCGATCGAAGCCGTGGATTTTTAAGGGCGAAAATATCCTTCGTACGCCTTCCTTCGGAGGGGAAGTAAAGCCGGCTGTCCCATGTTAGTAGATTTACTTGCATGTAAAAGATCCTCAAGCCTAAATGACGCCTCTGAGCTAAATTCAAAATCGCCAGTTTCTCGCCCAAGAAATACCTCCTTTCTCTGCTACATGGTGTAAGGAGCGTAGCGAAATTTGCGTGATCAGACGGAAGAGCGGGCCTGATGGCCTGCTGATCAGTTCACAGACACAAACACAGACACAACATTCACAGACACAGACACAACATTCACAGACACAAACATATGGCAATAGCAGCCGCTCAGGCCAACAGGCCTCAATATCACCACCTTTCCCGAGATTACCACGCTGTCTATGACATGAGTTTTGCGGCTTCACCAATCGGTAACACATACCCCCCCCACACACACACACACAAACAAACCACGCAATAGCTTGCCATCACCACTACTCACGTACCACCACGCCAACAAACCAACACACGTCACTGTTTGCCTCGCGATCACCGTGCACAATGTGTGAGAGAGGCATAGAAACTGCAGTTCGCACACACAAACATATGGCAATAGCAGCCGCTAACGCCAACAGGCCTCAATGTCACCATCTTTCTCGAGATCACTGCTCCGTCTAGTTCAGTTTTACGGCTTCGCCAACCGACAACACACACACACAAAACGCGCAGTAGCTCGCTGTCGTCACCACGCACGGCACCACGTCATCAACCTGCTCGCCATCACAGCACATTGTGAGTGTTGAATTCCTCGCCAACGCAGCACACACACACACTCACACACACACACACACAAACACACGCAAATCTTGGCAGTAGCATCTGCTCCAGCCACACCGCTACCATTGTTATACAAATTCACGCACTATATGTATGTGGGGGGGGGGAGTTTAAGATTTTGCCAATTCTATACACACAACATAAACATACAAACACACTGATTTATCATACCATCGTCCCCGCACTACTGTGTCACTATCTTCCTCGAGATCATCTCGCAGACTGAAGTGTTTAAGGTTTCATCAAATACGCGGGATCGTGTGTAAGAATATGAAGATGAAATGAAGTATGAGTTTATAATCTCGGCACCCTGGTACACAAACACGCACACGTGCATGCATACATACATCATCGAATTACCTCGCGATCGCCTCGACCTGGGTATTCAATTCAATCTATTGTAACGTATTAGCCAGCGTGCCTCGTGGCATCTATTTGGGGACGCTGGCAGAGGATCAGCCTTGCCACAGGAAGAAGGGTTTTTCCGTAAAGGGAAGAACGCGGAAACGGGAGACACAAGGCTTTGGGAGTTTCCGGCTTATAGAAGCTTTTCACTGTTATAACAAGCGAGGGGGTGGCGTGACGTAGTAGGTCACGTGGGCCTCGCCTATATAACAGCGTGTACAGAGCCAGTGGGTGGGTTCTGGAGACAGCGGGAGAACCTCGTGCGTGTGCACAAAACTTCGCGCCACGACGGTGCAAATGCGAGCCAGGCTCGCGAGGCTCGAGTCACTAGTTGACGAAGCCTGCGGACTTTATGTCCTTGGGTGACTGCGGTCACGGGGGAGCGATGCTGTGTGCGTGCTCCGAGGTGAAGAGTGGTTGAGTGCCACGATTCACGCCGATTCTCAATCGGATAAGATCGCTCCTGCGATCGAGGCAAACCAGCCGTTGGTGCGCCAGAACGGACTTTGTGTCCCAGCGTGACATCCGGTCACGGAAGCTAGGCTTTGTGCGCGCTTCAAAAGTAGAAGTGGCGAATGCCACAATCAAAACCATCTTCAATCGGGTTTGGATCGCTCCCGCGATCAGGGGATAGTAGGTCTATCAGAGCTAGGGTGTAAGTAGATTATTAAGTGTATATATTTGTTTTGTTTTCTTGTTAATAAATATATTTGTTATACGAAAGCTCTGTGTCTGTGGTCGCTGTGAGTATCCATGACGTCACACTATTGATGTACATGGTGAGATTCAGACCATCAGTCCTGCTCTTCCGTCTGACAACGAAAATTTCCTACGCTCCTTTCGTCATCTAGCGGAGAAAGAAGGTACCACTCGGATGACGAAAGAGACTTTTAGCTCATAGGCTTTTTTAGGCCTAGGCGGAGGAAGACGTACGAAGGAAGTTTTTCCCATGAAAATCCAGGTTTCGACCCGGTTTGAAATCGCAATCTTGGGTGTAACAGTTCGATACTCCAACATTTTTGCCACGGAATTTGCAAGGGCCAGGTGTCACCACTTTTCACAACATTACCTCCAGAGTGGCAAGCGACCTGGCGAATTTTTCTTAACATTTTCAGGCTCCAGAACCTACATTTTCCAGGTTCAATTGTGCAAAATGCATTCTCGTATTTGTATTGATTACTTGCTCCGTGAAATTTCCACCCTTTTCTTTCTTTAACGAATACTCGATGAAAATATTTAGTAGAATATAGAAAAGAGATTTGAAAAAATAAATAATTTTTTTAAACGTATAAAATTTAATTGTTCCTTGTAATACTTGTACGAAGTCAGGCTTGTGAAGAAGACTTTTGAGATTTCGAGAGATTCCATCATCAATCATTTAAAATATTACAATCGACAAGTACATTAAATTCGAAGAAATGTAAACAAGAAAGCAAAGGACTTGCAAAAAAATGCATAATTTGTGAATAATTCAAAAGAACTTGCGAAGGGTTAAATTCATGTGTAATATCTGTATTTAACCTTTAAAGACGACATTTAGAACTGTTCTTCAGAAAATTAAACAGAAAAGAATTAAACAGAGAATAACAGAACGTAGAAAAAATATCAAACAGGTTACAAATAGGCAAAATTCAATATCCTAACATAGAATTAACTCAAACCGTTCAATAAATTTTGATCAGTTTCGTATTTCGGTAGACACCGACAGAAATAAAAAATTAATACTAGAAACATTGAATATAAAAGCTCAGAATACCATGAATACACTTACAGAATCCAATTAGTTTACAAACATTTATTACAACATACTAAATATTTTTCGGCAACATTAACATTAGGATCAAACCTTTCGAAAACACACCTACTATCTCCTTATGTTGCATTACACCTACAACTATGCAACGACTCAATTTAAACGTTCAACTGTAATGTGGAAGGACTGCGACAGAGGCCAACCACAACTTATTTTAAAATTCAGATGATTGGTTTAATTTGTGGATATTGTATATATTTTTGTACATATTACTTGTAGTTTCCTAATAATAACAGGTGAGCTTTTATCAAATTGGGGACAGTATACATTTATTTGTTATTTTTGTAATTTTGTGAAGTCTCCGAAACGTCGTAAAAAATACACAAGTTAATAAAACTATCACTTAAAAGAGTTTGTCAGTTTTCATTATGATTGTCCATAATTTAAAATAAGGGCTTAAACAACAACTAAATAGAATTATATTACGACAACCAATTTCAAACTTAATTTTAATAATCGTATATACCAATGATGATTTTTGTTTTGGTTTGTAATCGAATAAGTAAAAATTTCCTAGAATATTTAAATAATAGTTAAATAGAAAATTAAAACATTTTTGTGGTCGCAGGGCAAAAGCTCTTGGGTTTGAACCTATCTACTAAGAGCATTTTCACCGAGTTCAAAGATACGATCGTTTGGAGACAGCGCGTCATGTGGCAAAAAGTGAACCAACTGAAAGTCTTCGTTCGCTTACTGCTCAACAGACAGCGCAGCAGTCGTCAAAGATGATCGATCAGCAACCGGCGAGAATTGGAAAACTATACATCATTTCGATTTCTTATTTCAAATAACACTAACTAAGCATTGTTAAACAGACCCTTCAACACTGCATAACACTTGAGGTAAGGTGCTTCCCCTGTTCCCTCTATCTACCCTTCCCATCTCCGCTTCTAAGTATTATTACTGAGGAGCGATCAAGTGAACCTGTTTACACTTCAGCTGATTACTGAAAACAAACGTGTTCGCAGCGGAGGCCAACCACAGGCTTGTGAAGATGTCACATATTAGTGTGATTCATCCTATTACGGTCTATGTAATGATTTAAGACCGACGACTTCAAAACGTTGTTAAGGAAGTTAACTCAGATATTGTAGATATTTCCCCGAATTTTGTTTTCCAAAAACTACAAAGGGTCTAATTTTGTTCCTTTCGCATTTCCTATTTCCGTCTTAATTGTGTCTTCAAATATGAAATAATTATATGTATAATAATTATATAATTATTACATAAGAAATGCCAACGGTAACTCACCACAATACCTGTATATCTTCGAATATGACTAACGAAAGAGGTTTCATTACTTTTCGTTAACATCTTCTTTACGCTTTTGAATGCCATGTGGTCACCGAAAGCCTCATTTGAGACCCGACAGACCTCCTATGATGCAGCCGGTAGACTCTGCACTCATAGAAAATCTCGATCTATGTGTGACACCGAGTGACTAGTGTCAGCAGCTCATTCCCACCTCTCCCATTGGGCAAAACATACGTGATGAAAGGCCTGCAGATTGCTGTAAGTGTGCCTGTCAATATCTCCAGTCCACTTCAAATAACTTACATTGTTCGTGTATACTGCATTACAATTTGCCCTCTGAGTAAACCGAAAACGGTTCATATGGGTGTCATACATCTGCTGTTTTTTTCAGTTTCGTTTACACTATACCTTCGAACAACAAAGACTGTTAAATGAGGAATATTAATGTTAATAAGAGTTAAGCTTCTTTATAAGAGCTCTGATTCATGCGTCAAGGGACGTTTTTTAAACAGAAAAAAAAGAAAGACTGAAATGGAAAAAAGACGTAACGCATTCTTCAAGTGTATGCTACCGACTGAGATAACTGAGAACATCAACTATTGCCTACGGAGTGGCCAGAGAAATAAGAGTTCTGGAGCAATAGATCGACGGATGCTCTTCATTTCGAATAAATGTTTCCCCCTCTTAGATACAAATAAATATATTATTTAATTAATTATACTTCAACTACAGAGAAATAAATTTTATTTTTCTTTAAAAAAATTGAAGAAAATGTATAAATTTTCATAATTATATTTTAAACAGTATACTTAAAACCATTTATTATGAAACACATACATCATTGCATTTTATTTTGGAGTTGATGTTTAAATATTCTTACGTTGTAGTTTTCATAAGTGGTTAGTTTGAATTAGATGTATTAAAGTTTTTGTAACAGTTTTTGAATGAAAACAATTCGGTGCGCCCATAAAGTCGGGACCAATTAAGCAAGTGGCCATAGCAGTGTCGGTGGCCGGGAGGACCTATAGTTTGAGTACCGGCGAAGGCTGATTCCTGACTCTGACTAGATAGCTAGGTCGAATTCAGTCGCTGTCTGGAAGAGAATCTAGCGGCTGGCTGCTCTGATCGGTAGCTTTCCGCGGTTTATCCGATCAATACCAAGCGAATGCAGGAGCAGTAGCCTAACAAACAGGCCACAGACCACGCGCGACATTTTTTCTTCTTCATTCTTGTTCTCTTCTCTCCCTTAAACACACATACTCACACACACATACGCTTAAATGCACGACACTAGCATAAGAATACGGCAGAAGCCTAGTCGGTAGCCGAGAGCCCATTCTGGCTGAGGCGGTCTCCAAGTTGGTGGCGATACCTGGAGGTGAAACCCCATAACCATCGAGAGAACCACTGCTGTCTCTCGAACATAACATGTACAACAATAACGATTAATAACCTTAAATACAATAAACACTAATGAACGTA